TATTAACGACATTTTCCAAAAAGATTTTTCCAATTACGATTGCTTTGGTTTATGTATCATGAGTCATGGTAGTGACGACCGTTTTTACGGTTCAGACACGGTACCAATTACATGGTCTACAATCCTTTGTTTATTTAATAAGAAACTGGGTCGTACATTTACAGGCAAGCCAAAGTTGTTTTTTTTTTCAAGCATGTCGGTGTGTTGCTCAGACTGAACATAATAGAGGTGGTGAACATGATGGAAGTGCAGCGGAACAACAGTCATCCCCTTCAARGTCCTACTTAACTTCTGACGTCCTAGATACTCTAGTAGTACACAGCTGTTTTCGAGGACATGAATCATTTCGTAATAGTCAGGATGGGACTTTTTTCATTCAAAGTCTCGTAAAAGTGTTGAAAGAAAATGTAGATAACGAGGACATGTTGAGTATGGTAACCATGGTTATTAACGARTTAACCAATCAATTGGGAGAAAAACAAGTGCCACAAATGGAAAGCACGTTAAGAAGAAAGCTTTACTTCAAACCATGTAGAAATGGAGTTTCAACATCTTTATAAATATAATCTAGAATGATCGTTATKTTGGATAAGTAGCAACTTWAATCAACCACCTGTAAATATTGTTTGAAATATTGTTTTTCCTTACCTTGGCAACAGTTTCCCTGCGAACATAGTCTCTACTCTTTCTCTCTTTTTTTTTAGGCGAGGAGGAGGGATTGTAACCCCCTCCCCTCCCCCAATTAATACGTTATCATGGAAATTGCTCCGTTAAAGTATTCAAGTGATYGCTTAAGGCCACATRGTGTTTCTTTCCTCAAAGGTTTTTGGAAAGAAGTAAAAATAAAAGTAAAAATAAAATAATTAACTGTGTGTTCAGATGAATGAGTGGAACTACATAGTTGTCTCTATCATCTCAATAAGCTGAGTTATTTCTGAATTAATCTTACATACTGACAAATAAGTGACGCTGYCATGACGATTGCAACCTAGGGAGCCTACGTTCAACCATTTCCACCTGTAAAAAGCTTTTGACTGCGAAGGGGTCCCACACAGAAGAGCAGTATTCATTTACTGGATGGACAAAGGCTTCGTGGCTATAGAGCAGTGTCTTAGGGAAGATAGGATTCTTATTGGGGGGTGGGGGTGGGGGCTAGGGCTTCGAAGGAGAGGGTCATCATGCTGTTTCRTTGTTGACTCAATAGKAGCTAGGGTCATGAATTTCTTACTGAATGAAAGGAGAAGGGCTTATTTTATTTTTAAAATGTTTTTCCTTTCGAAATAAATCGCGAATTTTTTTTTCCGGCCAAGGTTGTCGATCGTCCATTATCGGACTTGTGTTTTGGTTCGTATTTCTGCCAAGTTTGATGAAGCGGAAACAGGACATCCCACAAATTTTAAAATTAAAATAATTTAAAATTATTCAGCTAGAACTGATCAAAATGATTTAACGGTCAGGATTTAATGCAGTCAACGGTTTATCAACCTTGCACTAAATTGCAAATTACAAAATGCGCCTGCAAATATGACTAAGACGTGGTCCGATCTTTTCTTCTAAATCAGTTATTTACCTCAAAAATCATCTACTTACTGACCTTACTCTAGTAATCATAGCACCAATACTCAAACAAAACACGCGCGTCAGCGGCCACCTGTAGTGGAAAGCGTGATATTTCTCAGAAATCAGTGTTTACAYTGATCAAGACGCGTCTACTGAAAATGATATTCATACAAATGTAAGGTCGTGCTCATAGTTCAGTAATGRTTTGGTTTCTGCAAGCTTACAATTTACAGATAGAATTTTTACTCCGGCTGTAAATAAGTGATAAAACTACGGGRAAAATGACAGCGGTTGACGTCGTTCCTRAAACATTCGACTCGCTTTTAGGTAACATCTCTAAGTTTGTTCMAGCCGAAGCAGCATTTATCATCCATCAACTGCAAAGACTTTATCCATCCAGAAAAGACTCTTTTGATAACAATGACTTATATAGTGCCTTCAAACAACTATACAAGCTGGGAGCGATCGATAAAGATGGAGATCAGAAAATGATGGAAATATTGGTAAAGAAAACAGCAAAGAAGGACGAAATTTTGAAGTYTATAAATGACTACAAACAGGAATCTACTTTGCCACGCAAAGATGATTCTGTCGGTAGAGAAGCTGTCGYGAAAGAGATTCGTGACTCTCTGACAAGTGAGGATGCCGTTTCTGCAGTCAATCTGTATGGAGAATCAGGAGTAGGAAAGACGACATTGGCCAAAGTAGTTTCTGGTCTTATGGAAGATTTTGATATGCTATGGATTGATCTGAGAGACATCATAAATGTAGAAACTGTTTATTTTTTTGTTCTTTATGGTCTTGGCTTGACCTCATGGGACCGTGAGGCGAAACGAATCTACGATCATCTTGAAAATATATCGGGAAAAACTCTTTTTGTTTTGGACAATATTGAACAGTTCTTTGAGAATGAGGAAGGACAGATACTCATGGAATTCTTATCGAGAATTATCAACTCTTTAGCAAGCTATGAGGGAAAACTGAAAATTATTCTTACGTCAAAGGACAGTGTATTTGAACAATCTCTAAAAGAGGAATCATCGACGACAGATTATAAAGTGAAGGAATTTGATGAAAAAAGTGCTAAAGATTTGATGACAAAAAGAATCAAGAACGTTGTAGATGTTGCAGATGAGGCCCATGACAAGGCATTGTCTGAAATAGCTGATCTTTGCCGTAACTTACCATATCTTCTTCAAGGAGCAGAGCAGCTGATGAGGGAAAGTTTCACTACTCCTAAAGAAGTGCTGCGAAAAATAACTACACAGAT